ATAGTGCACTACTTTTGACCAGGTTCCGTGATACTCTTAACTCCACATTTGACAATAGCCCCCCTAACTGAAATCGATGGACATCAGAGTAGCCTATATAGACCTACAGTGGGATAGTTCTACCGGTCATTAGTAAATGACTAAAAATGTAAAAATGTAGGAAGCTTATTGGTGACCAGACGCTGTAAGCATCAGATCAAATGTACAACTTTTAAAAGGGATAATGTGAGATTCTGGCTTCCAGTCATTTCGCTAGTTAACATTGACTCACAAAAACACCCCTTAATTCCTTCATACTGCACGCAGAGACATACAAATGGTACCCACTAGTTCATCAGAGACATACAAATGGTACCCACTAGTTCATCAGAGACATACAAATGGTACCCACTAGTTCATCAGAGACATACAAATGGTACCCACTAGTTCATCAGAGACATACAAATGGTACCCGCTAGTTCATCAGAGACATTCAAATGGCACCCACTAGTTCATCAGAGACATACAAATGGTACCCACTAGTTCATCAGAGACATACAAATGGTACCCACTAGTTCATCAGAGACATACAAATGGTACCCACTAGTTCATCAGAGACATTCAAATGGTACCCACTAGTTCATCAGAGACATTCAAATGGTACCCACTAGTTCATCAGAGACATTCAAATGGTACCCACTAGTTCATCAGAGACATACAAATGGTACACACTAGTTCATCAGAGACATACAAATGGTACACACTAGTTCATCAGAGACATTCAAATGGTACCCACTAGTTCATCAGAGACATTCAAATGGTACCCGCTAGTTCATCAGAGACATACAAATGGTACCCACTAGTTCATCAGACTCTGGGTAAGTAGAACAAAATGCCAGAATGTCGCAGTATCCCTTTAAATACCCAGCGTTAAGTTAGGACTTGCCAGAGTAAAGTGTTTCCAGTGTTTCCAGCCTATACATTGTCCTGCTGTAAATCCCCAGTATTGTTATTATATAGGAGACTGAACAGCTTGAAGGAAGCCTGACAATAAGGCTAATCCAACAAACTTCATGAACTCCGAGAGTCTTGTGGGCAAATACCTGTTGACTCTTGTCCTATAATACTGTTATTTTTCTAAATGGAAATAAGCCTAGGTCTACACATTAATTAGCCTGATCCCAGATCTGTTTATGCTCTATAGCCAAGTCCTATTGTCGTTGTCACGCATGGCAGTGACCATAGCAGTTAGCAAGGCAGCAAACAGGGACCAGGCTTAATTGCACCCAAAAATAAGACGTTAGGAAGAATTGCAACCTTCCTCTTCCAGTACTAGGCCTACATTCGTTCAGACATGGCTGTGTTCTCGACCAGAACCAGGGTCAAACCTTCTCAGGATTGTAGTCCTTTTCTCTGTCCTGGTGTCTGCTAGCTAGGCAGTGAGGGGCTGACACAGGCCCAACAACTCCACCCCCGGGGATGAAGCCCAAACTCACCCATTTATGCTACTGCTAGCTGGTGATCAAGTAGCCTGGTCCCAGGTCAGTTTCTTCTGTCTTGCCAACCACTATGGTCATTGTCATACGTGTGAGAATGACCATAGGAGTCGGCAAGACAGCAGAAACTGATCTGGGACCAGACTAGCGCTTGAGAAAAGAATGCGCACAAACACACACACCGACCCTCAGCTGCACAGAGCGAGGAACTCACTGAAAGAAGAACTAGTCATGTTCCTGAAAGTCTCTACTAACTCTGCTTTTGGCTGCTGTTACATTTCTTCCAGCGCTGCATTCAGCTTGGGAAATGACCCGTACTTCGTCTCATGCTCATTGGGTGCATGGGCCCTAGACGTTTTCCCTATGTCGTGACGGTCTATGTTGACATGGTATATAGTAACGGACAGGACACCGTGGGAACAGCAGGAAGACTAAAGATTGAGAAAAAGAAACTCGGGTTCAGACCTTTTGTTGCTGCGTCAGCAAATTTTTCACTGTTGTGAAATGAAAATAGTTGTATGATACAGAACCTTGACCCTAGACAGTTAGGCCTGGGTTGGTGAACATGTTGTATACAAAGTTGTCAAAGCAGGATTTGGGTGGTTACAGTGCTCTGGAGATAGCAGTACATCAATTAGTCCTGTTTTTGCCAGGCAGAGGGCCCAAAATATTTAGGCTTACCAAACCACATTACAGAGAGAAGAAGACTAGGCGTCGTCTCAGGTTCCCCTGAAGTTGACATGCGGACATGAGAGTTCCAAAATGTGAAACACTATAATTCTGCCGTACCAAAAAACATCTAGGTTGGGTGCACCCTCACCTCGCGGTGCTGCGTGCTACGCCACTGCGTATAACTATAAGTTAAGTATAAACTATTAAGAAATCTAAGACGTGTCAAATAAATGATATCCAGCTCAGGGCTCCAGCTATGTGTTTGGTTTGCTAACTTGCTAGCTAAGTGGCTACATGTCAAGATCAAGCTTCTTGGTTACAGCAGAGACATTCAATCCCGTTCTGGATCAAGA